TCTGTGAAAATTTAGAGCAGTACGGATGGAATATAATGGAACTGCAGTGGAGTTTTTTACCATGCTGTGTTCATTTTGCACATACATACAGAGAAAATAACAGCAATAGCTATTCTCAGAAAATGTTTTGCAATAGTTTCTTAACTCTACATCAATAAGGAAAAGTATTACCATGGGTTTTTTTATTCTGTGGGTGAACCTTTGCTACTTGAATCCCCAGAGAGTGTAACACCAAATCTCTGGGATTAGTCTTGACAGGAGCTTATCCTGCACTCAGAAGCTAAATACAAGATCATTTTACTATTTGCAATAACAACTTTTTGAGGAAAGTCCCAGCATTCAAGGTGAAGAGGCTGAACCTGCCCTTCTGCAACCAATGAATCTCTTACACCTTCTGTGGAAATCCAATTAGACAAGCCGTTCATGTAGACATTGAATTTTGTTAGAAAGGGTCTGACTGATTGACAACCAATGGTACTATTTTTACTTAGGTGAATATATATATTTATCACTGTCCTGTCAAATTTTTAAGTTCAGATCAGAGCAAAAGTGAGCAAATTGTTTGTGTTTGTCATCTTAATGCATCAGTCACAAACATTTGTTGCATTCTGTCTGCTTCCTAGTGCAAGGTACAGCTATCTGAATGAGGCACCCTGTACTGCTACAACTAATTTTTGTCAAAAGCTTTTGTAGAAACCAAAGTATGTATGTATGGTCCATGCATTCAGAATCCTCATCGCCCAAAGTGACCTTCCTAAGGTAAAAACACAAACATGCTATACTGGAAATGAGCCTTAAAATGAAGTTCTGCCAGCCCATTGACCACACATTAAATTGACCTTCTGCATATATCGTAAACATACAGAGACATCATAACACCCAAATCTTTCCTCTGAAGGACATTATATTATTAGAAGTGCCCTTTGAAGGCAATTTGAATGAAGGCTACTTCAGAATGATTGAGTTTGCCAAATGAATTTGTTTGGCCCCATTCCTTACAAATCCAACCATCCTTCTCAAAATGGGTAAAATAGCATAAGTTGATGCTTAGCAAGTAACAGAGAAAATTGTCCACATGGAGAAGCTTCTACTGCTGTACAGCTAAATAAATAGCTGAGGAGAAATCACAGATCAAGCTAAACGTACGCTGAGCAGGTTGGTGCAAGCTAGAGGCACTGGCTGCATTAAGGTTTTCTTATGGCAGATTCAGGAATTAAACCAAACCCAAGCAGTCTTTAAAAGGGGAAACATTAAAATTCGTTTCACTGGTCATATAACTTCAGGGTTGAATTTGGAGCAAAAGAACAATGGATCAATTTTCATTTCCCTGGCATTTTGGAGCTTTCACTTTGAATTGAAAGAGAAATTTTTCTCCCTCTGAGTTTGCCCTTATGAATTCCAAGCGATTGCATTAGCTTAATGAGTACTTTCTTCATTCATATTGACTAGGATTTCAAATTTTAAATGAAGAAATTATTTAAAACAAATTAATGGTAAGATGAAAGGAAATGTAATTGAAGTTGTTTCCAATTAATCCTGGCAAGCCAACAGTCAAAAGATTGGTTAGGTTTGGGTTGCAACAGTTTTAATTATTGCCTTTTCCAAATTGATTTAAGAGCTATGTCAGCTTTTGCTCTCCACACTTCTTGCTTTGTTACCTGTATCTCTCTTTCATGTGGTACTGTATCTTTAAGTTGGGTTACAGTGGGATTAAACCAACTGGACTTTCCCTCTCATCTGGAGTTTCGTTCCTCACCACTTACACAACGGTTGGACCACGCTCTTGTACAGTCCCAGTTTAAATATGCTGTAAAGGTGAACACAGCCTCACACTCAGCAATTAATGGTATTCATGACTAAGCCAACCACTCCAACCACGTTTCCCATCTTAGGCAGGATACTAAGATTCATTTAGCCTGGGCATCTACGCATCTTGCCATGTCTGTGTAACTTAGAGAGTGGATTTATTTGGATGCGTGCTCATTTAGAAATATATTTTAATTGAAGTGTTTAGTGCTTTATCTTACATGCATACTGTGCAATACCATAGTGTGTTCTTTTCCTTTTTTTTCCTAAGACTTCTTTGAAATTCTTCATGTTTCCTTGAACACCAGTGTGTTTTTAACTTGGATCAGTTCTGGTGGCAGAAATGCATTTCCCTTGCCGTGAGCTAACCAGAAGCACATTGCACAACTGAAAATCTTTGCAACTTGTGCACCCTGACGTTCACCAGCAATCTGGCACACCTGGCAGGTGGAGAATGCTTCTCTCCAGAGTATCCGATTTGCACTTACTGTAAAGAATTGATAGCAACCTGGGGAAATAAGAATAAACCAGAGAGAAGAATCCTCGTCTGCTCCCACCAATCTCCGCAATAATTTTCCCATCACCTTCCATAGGAACAGGGACAGGCCATAACAAGCAGATCCAAGTCTCCAGCTCACAGGAACTGGTGCTGCTTGCAGAGGAGCACAGCACATGGCTCACATGTGGCTTCCTGAAAGTTTGGTTCTGGGATTCAGTTTCAATCCCAGTCTCTTCAGTGAACTGTTTTAATGTAATGAACCTGACCACTGTGACAAAGGCTTCCAAAAGACAATCAGCTTCTGGAATTACTTCTCAGTACAATATATTGGAAATTCTTTCTCTTCCATGTTTACAGCTTCTGCTTTAGTCGAGATTACATTCCATGCTTGGTGGTATAGGGGTTAAACTACTTGCAGTTTCCATTATTGCTTTGAAACCAGGCAATTTGAAGGTGCTATAACTGTCCACAGTGCACATTCCCACCCACTGAAGGAAATGATAACTTTTTCACTACTTATCTTACACAGTATCTTTTTATTTATATCAGTGTGTTTTGTATGTGTGCAAATGGTCCCATTGTAATAAGCTATACAACATTTGGTCTTTAATAGGGCGGCCATAGGCAGTATTTTGCAGTCGTGTAGTTTCTTAACTTAGAACACAAATAAATAATCTCTTCTGACACGATGAGTTAATTTATGGCAGGCTCTAATGTTTGTTGTAAACACAACCTGTTTGTTCCACCTCTTGCATGGTTACTTACCTGTTTTCATATCGCTATGTTATTGTTCAAGATACCTATTTCTCTTTATTTGCTATGGGTTTTGTTACTGTATATGGAATGTTTTGTATTCAGCATTTTCTTACAGAGCAGAGTGGGAACAGTATTCAAGAACCCACAAATACCAAAGACCTTTCATGTAATGCACTGAGAAATAAACATACTGTAAATGAGTATGATGTCAGGTGTCCTGTATTTACCAAGTTCAGAGCAAGTTCAAGCAGAATGCATCCTGAAATTAAGGCATCTGTTTTTTCTTTCCTGCCATCTCGGCTTTCCCTCACTGTATGTATGCAAATCTGGGCAGGGAAGGAAGGAAGGAAAGGAAGAAGGAAGGGAAGGAAGGAAGAAAAGAAGGGAAGGAAGCCTTGGTAAGCCTTCAAGCAACGTAAAGTTTGCAATTCCTGCATTGCAAGGAAGCTTCCACAGCCAGGCATGGGAGGAGGTGGCAAAGAACCCAAAGCATTTCTGTCACAGGTGACAGGTCTGGCTTCTGAACTTGTTTTTGCTCCCTAATACAAACAAGAGGTGTGTAAATCACAGCCAGTTCTCTCCCCACTGATCAGATCACACCGTAGATATGCAGATATCACTATTGTAGCAAAGTATTGTAAACAGTGAGAGATGTCCACAGAGTCAAGGCCTTGACTTCATGCAGATTTTTTTTGCAGTGCTGATCAGGAGAGGCTCAAGGTAACTTGTTGCCAAACATTCCCCTGCAGCACTGCTCCGAGTCCTTCAGGGTGTATTTATCTTGTTTTTGTGTCCAAAGACCTCCAACTCTGATACATTTATCCTTGCACAAGTCCCTTGAGGGAAGGCAGGGCTGTTAATCACTAGTGTACAGATTGGGAGTTGCTGGATAAAAGGCCAAATTAATTTCTTGGGACGTTTGTGGCTGCATTGGTCTGCCAAGTACCAATTAGCTTCAGGTCTGTGCTTGTCTCTGGGCCATTATGGCCAGGGACTGTAACCATGGGGGAAATGGTTCTTTTCCCAGTGCTTAACACAGCATGAGGAAAATCAATGGCAGAGTTAACAGCTTGCACTTCTAGCAGGAGCTGATCCCCAAAACACACACAAGCAAAATACTGATAGCCTTTGAATAAACTGTCTTAAGCGTTCAATCCCACTTTTTATCCCCATGACAAACTGGATAACACGTGTCCATAGTTCAGCAAGGAGAAGGTGTATTAGCCACTGTCCATTAAATAAAACACAACAGCCCGTTCTTAACAATGACAGTGATTAATTATTGCAACAATTTGCCAGAGGATGTGGTACAGCCTTTGCTACTACGCATTTTTCAAATTAAGTGGACTTTCTCCTAACTGTGTGTGTGTGTGTGTGTGTCTGTATATTCCAATTCCAAGCAGAATTAATTCAGCAAAGCCATGCCATTGCCATCATGGACATTACAAACGCCCATTTTTGAACCTGCCTGCATTGTGTGCAGTTCTAACACAGAGCTAGGTAGATCTGCTGCTGTTTCACTGTCTATACAAATTCATTACTGCATGCCAGCAAGAACTTTTTAATAGCTTCATACTAAATGAGGGATGCCCTAAGCACATCTTCAGGACATGCACTCTTTGCCCATAGGTCCAAGCTACACCAACTGACCATGAAAAACACTCAGCATGGCAGCTGTGGGCTGAGATTGGCCAAGGACCAAGACAAGCTGGAGGTGTCCCACTGATCCTACACCAGTGAGTGGAAGGGAAAGGCTGAGTCAGAAAGACCAGAACAGTGTGTAGCACCAGTATGGCTGCACCAGCAAAAACCTGACTTAACTGGATGGAGTTAATGTTCAGCCAACAACACTAACACTGTGAAGGTTAGACTTTAGACTTAGATCAGAAAACATATTGGCTGAGAGATCAACAGTGCACTATAGGATCTCTCTGCTCCTCAACCACAAAAACGTCCTCAGAAATGGATGGAGCCCAGGTCTACCTTGTGACAGGAGGATGTGGTTTTATTGGGGAAAAGATCACAGAACTCCTGTCTCAACAAGACTACATCAAAGAAGTCAGAGTTTTTGATTCAGTAGCAAGAAAAGAAGTAGAAAATTTTGCCACAGGTAAGAAAAGGGTATCAACTTGAATTTAGCAGCCATAGCCCTCCCTTTCAGGACAGGTGGTATTATGCTGGAGATACCACAGTTACAGGCATGGGGTGGGAACATGGATTGAACAGACAAAACCTATGCTCCTGACATGCTCCAATAGCTAAAAATTCAAAAAAACAACCAAAAGGCAGACAACAATAGAATCAAGCTCAGCATCTGCTACAGATATTGCATAATAAATTACTGTAATTGTGAGAGAAGCCTACAGCCAATGTGCTGTGCATAAAATGGAAGAGGTGAGGCTCAGTAAACATGCTCAAAGATATTAAATTATTCAATTTGATCACAATTCTGAATGCTGCCTTCTGATGTTTCACCAGAACTGATTACAGTGAGATACGTAGGGGAGAAGCAACTCGTTTTACTGGATTTGAGAATACCAACCCCAAACAAGCCAACACAGCTCCCATGGCTTCGTAGGGTTAGCAGTGGGCTGAGGATCTCTCTCTGACTGCCCAACCCCTCAGCTTGCTTCCAGTGAGCACAATGTTTTTAATAACAATCTTCATGATTTGACAGCCTACTTCTCTACTGCTTTCTCCTTTAGGTTAGGGAGGACTGTGGTGCTTCTTTCTTTTCCATAGTTGACAATTCTGCATCCCTGGGCACTCACATTGCTCTCTTCTGGAAAAGTGTCACTGGGGGCAGGACAGAGGCCAGCTGTGGCATTCCCTGTGCTGAGTAAAGCAGAAGAATGTCATAGAATCATAGAATCATTAAGGTTGGAAAGATCATCTAGTCCAACCATCAACCCATCACCACCACACTGCTAACCATGCCCCTCAGTGCCACAGCTACTCTTCTCTTTAAAACCTCCAGGACAGTGACTCCACCACCTCCCTGGGCAGCCTGTGCCAACACCTCACCATTTGTTTCTTCCATCCTGCACAATAATCCCTTTTCTTGCCTTATTCCAATTAAGCCTTTTTCCCAGTTGCAAATTCCTGCCAACAAGTGATCTGGCCCAATTATTTCATGAGGTAGGTTGGGCCTGTTACCTCTTCCCTACTACACCCATTACTTTCTCCTCGTCCCTATCTCTATCAGCTCATACTCTAATCATCCAGCATACTTTGAGACCCTCCCACTTAACGTTATCTGCTGATTTAATATGCCACGTTCTTGATGAAAACAATAAAAAGACTCTGTGCTACCTACCACAGCTGGCAGTTCTCGGAGCAGTAATTCAGCTTCGTGCTCACCCTGATGTGGCTTATGGGGCCCATTTGACTGATTTGCTTATGGGAATGACATGGAGTCTCCAGACCCCTTCTAAAATCAAGACAGATGACGCTGACCTGCTCTCCTACATCCAAGTGTCATAAGAACAGAAGGGATTTATCTGACATGACCTATTCTTCACAAAACCACCAGTTGCTACTATTCTCCTGGTTATCCTGTGGGTAGTTACACACATTCTCTAAGCACACATTCCTGAAATTCCTGGTGTTGACATTAAGCTTTTCCAAATTCTCCTGGCTCTTATTTTACCTCCTTTCTAAACACAGGCATTTCAGTTGCACTACTCCAGTGTCCTACTGCCTCCACCAAAAGTTCTCTGAAGTATGTGATAAACAGTAATCCTGCAGTTATATCAGGTACCCAATTAGCAGCCCTGGATAATGCTCATCAGCCTTCACAATCTGCAGATTTCATTTGGTGCTTGCCACCTCTCTGCTTATCCCTGACCATTCTGGTCTTAATTGCACCCAGCTGCCTTAAGACAGGTGATCAGAATGAAGTGGCTCATGAATGAAGCAGGCTCATGTAAAAGCATGACAATTATGGCTGTTGTTGGCATCTACCACTGTTTAGAACAGCTATTCTGAGACACAAAATAGGGGGAAGGAGGAAAATAAGCCAGACATCTCAGTGGCTCAAAGGAAGGGATTTCCTACAGAATCTTAACTAATATATTGTATTATTTTCTCTCCCCCATCTATAGTATTTGCAATTTAAATAGAGTTTTGGGCACTATCCCTCAAGCTTGCTTAGTGCTATTCTCACCATGCTCTAAGTATCTTCTTCATGTGTCCCAGAGTAAGTCCTGAGCCAGCCCAGCTGTCTCCCCATGTAGCTCAGTGCTATCCTCGACTCCATGTGAGATCCCAGTGACAGCTGCTGTTATTCTGACCCACAGCTGGTGTAAACTGGCAAAGTGCTGCAATGAATTAAACCAGATGTGTATCTGGTTTCTTGGGGTTCATGAAATGGGGATGTATTTCCCCCCAGGGCAATGTATTCCAATAGTAGAGTTGGCAAGCTGCTTCTTGCCCTGCTGAGAAGAAAGCTTTCCAGGCAGGATCCTCATTCTGCAGGAATGTGAAGATGCTGTTTTGTATTTTTTCCCCTGCATCTATGCTTATATTATTCTTCTCCAGCTACCACTCATGTGACAGTGATGAAAGGAGACATTCGAGACTACAATCTGCTCCTTGCTGCCATGCAGGGCGTTCACGTGGTTATCCACACAGCTGCTATTGTGGACTACAGAAACACTTTGCCCTTTTGGGAAATGAAAGCTGTCAATGTTGGGGGTAAGTTCTTTAAAACAAGCAATTAAGCAAAACACATCCTTAGAATCATAGAATCATTAAGCTTGGGAAAGACCTCTAAGATCATGTAGTCCAACCATCCACCCACCACCAGGATTTCCCACTGCCCACATCCCTCAGTGCCACATCTCTACAGCTCTGGATTGCCTCCAGGAACGGTGACCCAATCACCTCCCTGGGCAGCTGTGCCACTGCATCATCATCCTTTCTGAGAAGTTTTTCCTAATATCTAGCCTTAAATACAAACGCTTTGGTGTAAAGTCATGCAAGAGACTACAATATATGTCTCTCCTCTGGTTTAATGCTTCTGTGTCTTCTAAATATGCAAAGTTAAATCTGGACCCAGACATTGGGTAAGTTATTCTGATCAAGGACATCACTTTCACTAATAGTACTGATTCAGAACATAGCTATAGTGGTAGGAAACTGTCCGGTATGTGAGAAAGACATCAATTAAAGTTGAGTTAAATTAAAGTGATGCTATGTATAACTATCACATAACTACATGCCACACCTAGCCAAGTGCTCCACAGCATTTTCTTCCTATCACTAAGAGCTGATTTCATGCTAGGTGCAAGATCTGATTAACGAAAACTTGTTCATCAATCTCAGAAATAAGCACAGTCTATAAGAGCAATGAAATCCCAACTGCAGCAGCAACTCCAGTGGTACTTTGGGCTGTTACCTACTAAAACAGCGATGAACCACAAGGAAAGAATTCTGTACACATATATGTAAACATACGTACACATGCATCACCAACCTGGTAACTGCTTAGGGCTTCTACTACTTGCTGATGCCTTCAAGGACAACATTAAACTACATTGCTGTAGTTATTTCCAAAACCAGATGCTTTTAAGAGCCTGTATTGTGTGAGCACACAAACAATACTCAGAGCCAGAGGGTTCCCACTGCCCGTTAGTGGCTTTGTGAGATCTTCCTCTTAATTGCCAGCTTGCTGCCTTCCCTTGGATGGCTTCAAACAGACCTCCCTACATTGGGCTGCTGCCTTCACCAGGACTGCTCAAAATCTAGAACTGAAAGATACGGTTTTCCATTCATCATTGCGGATAGAAGAATGCTGAACTGTATTTCACACCTACTGTAGAATTCATGGAAGAGAAAAGAGTCAGGACAGGTCAACTATAATCCAAGCTGGCTCCTGTATAACTCTGGTCACAGAAATTCACCCAATGACTGCCTTAAGCACAACAATTTGTGGATAAATTGAACAGCCAAAAGATTTTTTGCCTAGGATTAGGAACTGCAAGTTAATGGGCTATCTATCAAGTCTTTCAGCAAATCGTAATGGTGCTTAAGAATATTAGTGTGGCTATAGTTAATTACTATATGCAAGAATTTACATCTTTGTTCTGCTTTGATATCCTCCTCTGCTTCAAGCTCTGGTTTCTGAATCCTTGACTAGACTGAGGAGCCCATTTAGTCACTTAGTCTTTTAAGTCTGCTTTTTGTTAAGCTGAATGATGTTAACTCATCTGTTTCCAATGATAAACTCAGTTTATCAATTGAGGTTCTCAGTAACTTCATACAGTGATAGGTTAATGGAGGATTACATTATTTTCCACTCGTCTTCATACTGACTTATGTTCTCTGAAATTATCCTAAATTCAGGATTTCCTTGATAATTTTTACCAAGAGTTTGTTGCAATGGTGTTCACCCTTCAGTCACCAGTCACTTCTACAGAGCAATATATGCAACTAAAACACCAATTCTTTTGCCAGAAGGCTGCAATTCACCATGCTGCCCATGCAGTTGTTAATAACTGTAGAGATCACCACGTTACAACTAAAACTGTAGCTGCTGCTCTGGTGTTATAAACCATCCATACCTGTGCAACCTGTACCCAAGGGACAACAGCTTTAACCTATGGCTATGAAAAGGATGGATCTATTTCAAATCTGAAAATCTCATATAATAGAAACCAAAGTAGTTAATATTTGTCCTTCCTGTCCTGCCTCACAGGTACTGAAAATGTGTTAAGGGCCTGCTGTGCCCTGAACATCCCATATGTTGTCTACACAAGCTCCATTGCTGCGGTGGGACCCAACGTTTTGCACGAGCCCATGCTCAGGTAAGGCCCAACACATCATTTTCATCCCTATGGATTTTTACTGTGAATCCAAGGCAGAACAAGTGTGCTCCCAATCCTGTTGATTCCTTCACTCCTTCATGAAAACCACACCTCCTTTCAACATAAACTTGAACAGTATCGGATACCCCTCACTGAAAGATTTGGTTGTGAGATGTAGGACTTAACAGCACCTCCAGGTTATCTTCCATGTGTATGGACCTGTTCTTCTAATTGCTAAAATCAGTTTGGCATTGGATCTCAGCTGCTCAGGGTTCGACAAGGCCAAACTTTACCTTGGGGGTAAGTTGGGGAGAAGTGACCCATGAATGCCACTCTATCCCTCAAAATACCTCTTCCTGGTGAAAGGTGACTCTTTGACTCCCTGTTTCTGGGCACACGCTCAACCCACCTCTTCCATTAAGACTGACCCACAGAAGTAGTAGAGCTTTGGAAGCCCTCCGAGGCAAAGATGGCATTTGGAACAATGAAAGGCAAAGGTTGAAATTACAAGTTGGAGTTGCCTTTTCCTATCATTGATTTCCAGAATGGACTCTCACAATCAGCTAAGATTGCTGTTCAGGACCTGGATACCTTCGGTATTCATGGGATACAGGAATTGCCCCTTGAACTTGGCTGCTCTTTCTGAAGACCAAGAACTGAAATTTTAGGTTAAATTTGAAGTCAGGTGGAGGTGGGTGCAGTCTGACTCACAAGTAAGCTAAGCATATCCCAGTTGTTCTGAAGAGCATTATCCAAGTCCATAGAAATAAATGTCTCTCATATGAAAAAGTCCCTGAGAACAAGAAACCTCAACCCACTTAGGAGCATAAGCACTAGAAGCTCTAGTATCAATGAAAGGCTATGAAATTTGGTTATTAACATATCTAAATCACTTCTAAAAACAGATGTATGTGTATGTCTTTGTTAGAATTATAGTCCTGTGACTTGAGATGCGTGTAAATAGGTGTTTTGAAAAAGATTTGTGGTAGATATCCCAAATGTTGCTTGAGAGGACAGTTCTTTCCTTAGAGTCATGCCTTTGTGGGTGCAAACAAAAGCCCATCCTGCTGCTCACAGAACATATGCACATATGAGCATCCTCCCCCCACCGACTCACAACCCTTTCCTGCCACAAATGCTAATAAAACCACCAACTACAGCCTGTAACTCGCTTTTCAAAAACATACTCACGTTCTCTCATCATGCTGTGAGAAGAAAGCCTGTTTGTCAGAGTGGTTCTTCTTCTCCAAAGATTTTCACTTTTAATTCCTGGAATTGAAAGTGAGAGAAGAATCAAAAATTACACAGCTTGTCTTAACAGGGAGCCTAGTAGGTACTGGAAGGCAACCTAACATGGCTCTGCTTGGCACAGCTGCCCAGGGAAGTGGTGGGGTGACCATTCGTGGAGGTGTTCCAGAACTGTGGAGATGTGGCACTGAGGGACATGGGCAGTGGGCATGGTGGGGTGGGCTGGGGTTGGATTTGGGGGCCTTGGGGATCTTCTCCAACCTTAATGATTCTGTGAGTCTATGCAGGGATGTGGTTTAGCGAGCATGGTGGGGGTGGGCTGATGGTTGGACTTGATGATAGAGGTCTGTCCAGCCTTAATGACCTTACGATTCTATGGCTGAAAGCAAAGGTGATGTAGCTTCCCTATCTCCACCCAATTTGTTCTGCTCTTGTTTGCAGTTGGTGATCAAGCTTGCCTTACTTTTTTGCTCTGTCCCCTTTATCTATCACTCCTTGTATAATTTTATTTAACTCGCTTTTAGGTGCTGGGGAACTGACACAGACAAAGCATGATTAGTCTCTGGACAGGATGATGGGTGCAGGGATAATGCTCACACCTCAGCATCCTACAATAATAGAAAATGCCTCTGTCAGTCTCAATCCCTCTGAGACAGCCACCGCTGAGATACCTTCTGACAATGCTGCTCCAGTCTTATTAGCGTTCAGTTATCTGAGATCGTTTTGAAAAGCAAGAGCATTATGCTGAGCTCTTTGTTACTACCAAGCTTCAAAAGGGGTGGGGGAAGGCAAACAGGAGCAGAGCTCCGCAGCCCAGAACGGCAGGCAGGCTGCCCCTTTGTGAAGCTTCACAAGGCAAAAAAAGAAATTCAGATAGAAAAAAAGAACGCAATTAAAACAAGGACTTCTAGATAACCCCCCTAATTGTCTTGGGCCTCTCTTGGGCTCTCAGCAAACCGTGCACAATCAATCTTTTGCTGTGCTTGTTTGCTGGTTTGTCTCCTGTTCATCACCCATAAACACGGGGAGGGGAGGAGGGTTTGTGCTACAAGCCTGTCTGCTTGGGGATGCTGAGTTTTTGAGGCTCCTCATTTATTTCTGTTGCTCTCAGCTGGGATATCTGATGCACGAGGTACTGACTGAAGAAAGGCAATAGCATTACCCATGTTTTACATGCGGTGATGTGAGCGCAGAAAAGAGCAAGTGAGTTGAACAAGGTGGAAGCAGGAGCCTGAGTCAGAGCTTGCTTTAAGTCCAGCGCTTAACAAAAAGAGCTCTGCTGCAGAATTGCTGCCTGACCTTGTCATAGGCCACTTAGCCTGTCCTTAAAGCACAGCTGAACCCTGTCTGTGAAAGGAGAAAGATGGTTCTGCATCACATTGCTTTGGGTGCTCTACACCTGGCACAGTTCAGTGTTTGCCTAGGGTGAATTTCTGTAGGACGGTGAAATAGTCAGCAAATAGATGTGAAAATGTGAAGGAAGTCTTTGAGATCTCCTGCAGCACACTGAATGGGGAGAGAGCCTTCTCATGCAGCAAGGAGCAAGTGGACACATGGTCTGCGTGTATGGTCCCTCCAATGCTCCAAGCAAGGCTTCTTTGCTCTCTGACAAATCCACAGCCCCCCAGTCTTCCTAACCGGATCCTGAAATACTGAGCTAGAATCACTGGGACAGGAATACCCACGCCTTTGTGGGGAATGCTGCTTTCTTGGTTCTCCTTGGAATTATTTTAGGACCTGTGAGAGCAGTTACATGTTGAGTCCCATTGACTTAAGACTCACATCCAGTTGAGGAGCATGTTGTCTTTCTCCACAGTGGCAACCAGGGGTCCCAAGCACAGCTCCAAGTCCTGCTTGGCCTAATTCAGGGACTTCGTTTTCCTCTCGTCCCCTCAAACATAATCTGCTGGGGCAGATAAAGAAAACCTCAGCACAAATCTGGTGATTGCTCTTTCTCATCAGCAGCAAACGCCTCCCAACTCTAATCAACAATATGAGAAAATTAAGGTGCAGCTTCTTTTAGTTCAAAGCTCACAAGAGGCTTCTCGCTACCTCTAATGAAAAAACAAAACAGGACTGCTCTCATTTTCCTGCCCTCCATCATCTTGTGCTCTTTCCACCTTGTTCAGCCACTTGAGAGATGCTTAGAAGGGTAACAGCGCTGCCTTCTAACTTCCCTGCCAGAATATTGTTTGCTTCCATCACACAAATCAAATTCACCTCCCAGAGATGAAACCATTGCTCTCATGCAAACCTGCTCTTGCCTAACACCACGAATCACTTGGTATTTATTGAGGCTTTATTTCTCCTGAGCTGCAGTAAGATCTTTCTTAGCCCTGCATGACTCACCGTCAGAACTTATACACTGCAAAGTAGGGGTTAAAGTAAATCACACAGAGATAAATGTCTCCCAGCTCTGGACTCCAGGGTCACTCACATCTCAATCTATTTCAGAGGAAATGAAGATACCAAATACAGCGGGGAAGTGGAGCTGCCTTATGGGAAGACAAAGGCCATGGCAGAAAGACTTGTATTAGAAGCCAATGGGAAAAAGGTAAAAAAGTCAATGGTGGCATCCATGGGGTTTCAGCACAGGATGAGCAGAAGGAGAGAGCTGGTTAGAAAGAATCATGGAATAGAATCACAGAATCATTAAGACTGCAAAAGACCTCTAAGATCATCCAGTCCAACTGTCCATCTACCACCAAGACCCCACAGGTTGTACCTAACTATGTCTCCAATGACTTCTCTGCTAAGATGTATTCACCACTTTGCCCCAAGCTTACCAAAGGCCAATACTCCCACAGCATCATGGAGCTGCCACGTATTTGCAGGATCAAGTTGCTCTACCCTCTGTGCCTATTCTCAAACTCCACCAAAGCTGGAGCTTTGGAAAGCACTGTATTAAATTACGGTTTGCAAAACTAGGTTCACCTGGTGCACAAAAGGTGTATTTTCAGACATGCCTGCGTGATTAAAGAATCAAAAGTTTGACTCCTCCATCCCAATTTCCCCAAGTATTCTGGTTCCATTTTCCACATTAAAGATCACTTTGGAAGATTCTACCTCCGAATCCATCACTTGCTAATACTCCTCCCTGATTTTTCAGCTCACCAATGGTGGTAAACTCACAACCTGCATCATCCGCGCAAACACGGTGTATGGGGAGAAAGCAATGTTCCTTCACGACTTGTATTTGTCTGCCAAAGCCCATAATGGTGTGTTGAACTACCTGGAGCCTGAACACACAGAGCGCAATTCCATGTACGTGGGTGAGTGAGTGATGGATCTCTTTGTATGCAGTGCTCCCAGGCTGCTTTGGCCACAGGAGATTTTGCATGTTGGCTTACTCATAATCCCTGAATACAGAAAAATGAGCATAGTGACTGAGTGTAAATAATTCTATAACCACAAAACTCAGGCTGGCTGAAAGAATTTATAAAACACTTGTTTACATTCTGTTGTTTTCATAGAACCATTAAGGTTGCAAAGGCCACCAAGACCATCCAGTCCAACCATCAACCCGACAGCTGTGACCACTCCAGACCATGGCACTCAGTGCAACATTCACCCTTTCCTTGAAAATCACTAGCAAAGGGTTTTCTTTTCTTAAATTCTCCTCGATGCAAGGAACAATGTTGTTTAGAAAACTGAAAAATAGCAGAAAAGAGTACAAGAGTTCTGTTTGGTTTTTTTTGTTTTTGTTTTCCCTTTGGCAATGTTTCTAGAAATCTACAGAGGAAAACAGAGAAGCTGAGGGAATATCTTTAAAATATTTTTTGTCTGTTTGAAAAGACTCGTTTACTCACAAAAATTAAGCCAGCTACTAATAAAATTAGAAAAGGCGTTCATTGTAGAAAAGATTGTACTACATAACTGAGTTTTGTGAGCATGACAGGCTGCTCCCAAAGCCTCCCAGAATCATAGAATCCTTGAGGTTGGAAAAGACCTCTAAGATCAACCCAGCCCAACCACCCACCTACCACCAATACTGCCCACTGGCCATCTGAGGTACCACATCTGAAGTAGTTTGTTGTTGCACTGAATGCATTACAGGAGGAGTACAATTCACCACTCAATCATGTGGAGCTGTAGTTATTTCTGCGAAGCTCACATGTCCTTTTCCAAAAGTGTAGATAACAGTGCTTTGAAATCGCTGTTACAGTGGAATCAGGCTTGGATAAATCAAATGACTTCTTCAAAGGCTCACAGCAGAGCCAGGAATAAAACCCCCAAGCTCTGCCTCCCATTCATCCTGATCCCACTACAAAACAGTGCCCTTTTGCTTTGAGTGAACCCATGTCACAAGGAAAGTTAACTGTCCAGCTCAAAGGGGAAACCAAGGGTTGAAAGGACCTTTGAGGCCTGAATTAACTATGCCATCCCTCCTCAATACAGCTGAGCACACGATGAGTGCCATCCCTACATCGCAGCACTGCAGTTGGGATCCCATGCTCTCACTCCCACAGTAAATAGGCAAATGCTGCTCCTTCTGAGCACCTGTTTCTCTCCTCCTCTTATTTCTCCAGGGAATGTCGCATGGATGCATGTTCTTGCAGCCAGGCAGCTGCAGCTGAAACCAGACATACTTGCTGGGCAGGTGTATTATTCCTATGATGACACTCCGACAACAAAAGGTTTTCTGATCAGGTATCAGCTCTTATCCTGTATGGACCCCTCAATAAGACTGGGCTCACGCATCCCATACTGGAAGATGTGGTTACTGATACACCTGCACAGGATCATCGAGGTCATCCTGTCCCCTTTCTGGAAGCCACGGCCTTTCCTAAACTTCCCTTTGCTGCACACGATAGTCACCACCTTCTCCTATGAGACAGACAAAGCCTTCAGGCACTTTGGGTACCAGCCCCTCTACAGCTGGCAGGAGAGCAAGGTCCGGACGGCGCGGTGGCTGGAAGTGGCTGTGGGGAACCTGTCCTCTCAGTGATGGAAAGAACCCTTCCTAAAGATCCTGTTATCCTTCCTACGCGGCTTATTACATCTGTTTTGAAATATTATCCCTATAAAAATAAACTCCTATTCTCTTGCACTGACAGCACAGGGGCTGACTTGCATTCCAGCCCCATGGTTGGATGTCTACAAGTTCAGGCAGTTTGCACTGGAGCTCGAAGAAATGGGCTGTTTTTACAGTAGTGGTTAAAATCCAAAATTAATTCTGTCGGTTTGAGACTGTTTAAGTACTCCTGTGTTCTGTGAACATGTAATCATCTCCTGAGTTTTTCTACAGTTGAAGTGTATGTATGCACAAATAAAAGCTCATTTTAATTACTTCCCTAATCCTCCTGGAAAAAAAAAAAAAAAAAAAAAAAAATAGAAGCAAGTTTCAGCACGGCATCTTTGATAGAAATGATCGAGATTTGCTTCTTGTTAGTCATAGTAATTACCCTGGAAAGGAAGCGAAGGAATACGCTGGGAGCTGCCAAGTGAACTCCATGGAAATTCACTCACAGGAGAGTTCTTTGCAAAATGAGCTTCCAAACCAAAAATAATTTGCTCAGGTAATTCGCGAATAATTTCATATGACAAATAAATCTGGGGCAAACCATTACAATCTGTTCACAGAGAATTTGGGAAGGTGAACCGTGCAAGTCATAGAATCACAGAACGCTTTGAGTTAGAAGGGACCCTTCAGTGCCATCTGGTCCCACTCCCTGCAGTGCACAGGGATGCCCACAGCTCTCAGTTCCTCACTTTTTTACTCTAATAATCTGTGCAGAGAGGTTTTATATAAAGTGATTAGTAAGACTGCTGGACTTGGTTTCATTAACAATTGTCTTTGCAGCTTTCTGCTATAAGTTAAATGCTAAATGACGGCTTGCTGAGAATGTCACAAAGCAATATATACCCAATTTCTTATGCATGTTGCCAGAGCTTCACTATAGTGTGACTACTTTGACCTCAAACGGTTTTAACGCTTCTGAAACCTTGGTTTTATCTTGCCAAAAAAGAGCCACTGGGTGGAGCTGCAAGTCTGTCAGACAGGTAACTTGGGTTCCAGCATTGCAGCAGCATTTACTGGAGCAGCATTTACTGGAGCAGTTTCTGACGAGAGCTCCAAGACCTGCCCAGACAGCACTGCTGATGGATGGTCCGGGGGTCTGGGTCTGTCCTCAGTCTGCAGTACTTGGAGCTCATCCCTCGGCTGCATGGACACACTCATCTTTTTATTCTCATCTAGTTGTGCCATCAAAGAGACCGAGGGAATTATTTTTTCCACTCGTAACTTCTTAGAAAAGAATCAAAGTTTGCTTTTAACTTAGCAAAATATATTGAAATATGGCACTCTGACCTTTGAGAGAACTGGCCTAAGTTCAAGAGCCGATGCTTCCATTCCCACTCGGAGCCTCTGGCACATTCCTTTGTGGGCTATGGAGCTGCTGAAGGTACCAAGAGGTGTAACTGTCAAACTCCAATCCTACTCCAGCAACCAACCTTACGTGCTTGCCTCCTTTCAGAAACCTTACTGGGAATCTCCTCTTCCTGTCCTGCCCATCATCACCCAGGGTTTTGATGTTTATCAGGACACAGATGACACGAAGGATAAGGAGCAGGCGTTTTTCAAAAGGACCTGAATCATTCACTGCCTTAACTCTTTCCATACCTACCCCACCTCCCAAGCTTTGACAAAAGCAAGTGGAGGATTCCCTTTCCCTGCACATTTAGCAGAAGTTGGGGGGAAAAAGTTAGACAGCAAAGCCTCTGTACTGCTTTCCAAAAAGATGAGTAAGCTTCCTTTGGCTGCGCTGCAACTTGGCTCCCCCCGGGTTGTGCTGCTGCAGACTTCCTGCTTGATCCTTGATTTTATCAGATTGTAACTTGTTTTCTCCTGGCAGCACTTTCATTCTTTCTACTGCTCTGGGTTGTCATTGGCTTTTCTATGTAGGGTCCCAGCCCTATTATGTAACAGCAGCAGCAAAAAAAAAAAAAAAAGAAAAGAAAGAAAGAAAAGGGGATGGGGGGGGGGGAATATTTCAGATCTGTTTCTGCTTCTGGAGAGGAGCCTTTGTGCACAATTACTCATCCAAGAGATTCAGCAGGTATAACTGCTTCCCCCAGGGGCTCCATTATATAATTGGATTTCAGCCATACAAATTAAATCCTATCTTACCCCTTAGTTAAGCCAGGCAGTAAGTATTTAATGCTAATATCCTTAACAACTATTGCAGGGAGAAGCAGAGATGAAGCACAGAGGAGACAGATGCGAGTGTCCCTACCAGAGGAGAGGGAGGATGAGCACTGACAAAGACACCTGCTATTTTTTAGAGCTGGCTGTACTTCCCCAATGCAACCCATGGCGTCTGTTGGAGGAGCTGTTTGGGCTGGAAAGTGGCTTTCCCTTCATTTTCCAGCCTGTAGTGCTCCCATGTGTGCGCTGAGCACTCATCCCCCCTCAACACACACACAGTTCAAAGAGCCTCATGCCTAACCCTGCTTGAGTTTCTATGGAAGCCTCTGTTCTTGTGCAACGTCTGAAAGAAGCAAATTTAGTAATATTAAAACTCCAGCCAAACACACAAACAGGCAAAGAATCCCCAAATTAAAAAGAAAATCTTAAGCGAATTACTCATTCATCTGCATTTTCTATTGCATTCTGTCTTCTCCAGGCATGTTTCCTTTAGACAAAGCCCTCTGGGCAGAGACCATCTCTTTTGGTGTCTGGTACATCAGTCACATAGTTAGTGCATAGTAATGAAGGAAAATAGATTCATGGTGGGAGTTAAACCAGTCAGTCTGGTACCATAATTGGAACATAATCTCATATTGACAGTATTTAACACAGGATGCACAGGGAACAGATGGCAGCACGCCAGGCCTCAATCGTTCAGCAAACATTGGAAAGATATTTTAAAGTCCAGCTTTTGAGCCTCATCTCCCATATCGGAAGTTGCTCTGCCCCAGACAGGACCAGATATGCTCACTGATCCTGCAGAAAGCCCAGCACACCCATGTCCTTCAGAGCACGCAGACCACTTGGCTAGCAGCCTTTCCATTGCTAACTATCTTACAAATGCTTAGAGAGATTTGAAAAAGCATCGAGGACAAAAGGCTCTGAGGTCCATTGGCACAACTGTGCATGCCTTCCCTTGCATAGAGGCCATGACATGCAGTTGGAACTGGATGATCTTTAAGGTCCCCTCCAACCCAAACCATTCTATGATTCTGTGTCCAAGGTGCACCTTACAGCATGGAGTGTGACAATGTGGGTGCAGACAAACTCAGCTTTCCGAGGATATGGGAGCATACCTTGCTTCCTATATCTATGGAAACTTTAAATTGATTTTTCTCCATTTCACCAATTAATTCCCATTAATCAAGTTACCGCACAATGCTTCACTGTAATTCACAAGTTTTATGTATTATATGAATAAAATTGCACATATATTTTTATGTGATTTTCATTTAATTGAATTCCAAGGAGATTTATCTCCTGGGTTATTAATAAATCTTAATATGGCCTATAACACTCAATTGATATTTAATTAACCTGCAATAACTGCCTTGTAAAATGTAAATTAAATGCTTTATTTTTCTAGGCATATAATGTTAAATCAAATTCTTAATTCTACCAGCCAAGCAAAAAGGGGTGGGGGAAAAACCAGACTGCAGGCTGCAAAATCTTAGACCTGAAAACATTTTATGCTTAAAGAGGTGCAGAATGGAAACATGTTTTATAATCACTTCTCCCAAGGAAGTACTTCTACACCACCTCCCCACCTTCAAAGTTCAGGAGTATCTGGGTGGATTTAGATGAAACACCGAAATCTCAGGAGACTTAAAGAGGAGAGAGAGAGAGGCCCATTATTAATAATAAGGGTGCAAATTCCCATATGTATTGTGGGATTTGGCATTTTTCTTAAAGTCTTGGCTCCCAGAGTCCCATTATCAAATGAGAATGTCAATTTTCATTCAAAAATTTTAAAAAAAGGAAAGATGTTAAAGCCCTTTGAAAGAGGGAAAAGTTTGCAAACCTGAATGTCAAAGGCATGAGAACTAAGAGACAAAAAATACATAAAATTTGATCCTTATCTTTAAAAGTATCAGAACTTTTTGAGAGACTCGAGATGGCTGAGAACTGGGAGGTGGCAACAAATGATCAAAACAGCCTCTACAAGAAAACATGAGAACAGTCCAAATTATGTTTTAAGATCAAACTGTTCTCCTCCCCCTCCTCTGGCAATTTACATAGATCTCCATTAAGTGCTCCAAACTGCATCAACAACTATTTCTGATTTCAAAACCAGGAGAGCTTGCTACCTTTGTAAAGTGATTTCAAAACTTCAGGTAGCTATGACTGTACACAATTCATGGGCCTGTAAGGTTCTACTGCTACAGCATCTAAAGTTTGGAGATATAAATATATTTAATGTACCGAGTAGCTAATCTGTCTTAGAATCATAGAATGGTTTAGGTTGGAAGGGATCTTTAAGATCATCCAGCTTCAACACACTGCTATAGGCAGGGACACCTCCCTCTAGCCCAGGTTGCTCACAGTTCCATCCAGCCTGGCCTGGAGTGCTTCCAGGGAGGGGGCATTCACAGCCTCTCCTCCAATATTTGATTAAATAGAGCAGGCTCTTATCCATCACTGATAAAAATACACAGCTAATGGTGGTGACCGTGTTGCAAAAGAGCGTTTTGACGCTAAGAATTTGCTCTATCAAAGAGTGCTATTGTGCTCTCATGGAAAAAGATAGGAGGCATTACTTTTGGAACAACTTACATATATGTGGCCCAATTTGTCTTTACTCAGTGTCACCCAGGCAAGCCAAAGTGTTTGACATCCACAAAACAGAGTAAGTATTTCCACCAAAGACCAGTATCCTGAACTGCCCATCATCTGAGATCACTTTAAAAGGTATTGAACAAAAAATCAAAACTCAAGTGGGCCGTGGGTTTTAAAGGTGTCACAGCATGGACACCTTTAAAATGAAGAGAAAGGATTCTAACTTGCAGCAACTGAACCGAAATAAATCCAGATCTTCTGGAATGGAAAGCTTGTCCGTCCTGCCATCCCATCCTTTCCTTCCTCACAGGCTCGCCTGAATT